CCCCCAAAACCCCAAAACCCCAAAACCCCGTTTGGAAGAAGAGGAATAATAAATACAATTACATAAAACTTCATATATAAAAATATGAATACCTACGTTCACTATATGCTGGGTCTTCTTCTCCTAGTCACTGTCATGAGGGTTAACCACTTCATGCATTCTAGCAATGAAACTTTCACTCCTACTGAAATGACTGGGGAGACAGCTGGGATAAGCTCTTTAGGAAGTAAGCACACAGAAAGAGAATGGGCTCTATTGGGATTTAGAGGCTCTGGGAGCTGAGAGATGAGCCCATTTTTGACACAGCTAGACTGCTACTGGTGTCTAATTATACATTTTGAGTGGAATAATATTTGGGATTGGCTTTAGAGCTAAGGGATTTGATTAATCATCTTCTTTGTTTAGAATTTCAGAATGGGAAAAATCCTGATAAAAGATTCTTAAAAGACGAATCTCCAATTTTTGTTGCTCCCGAAATTAAACAAGAGATTGAAGAGCCAGGTAAGTGCTAAAAATTAAATTACTAACTCGAAGGGTGTATATCTTTGTTCAAATAAAGCACTATCACTCTAATGTCACTAAATAGTATCTTCAATTATGTGTTACCTAAATTATTTCATAATTTCTGATATTTTTCACCTTATATTTCAAAACTAGCAAAGCTTACTAATATTTAGTTGATAATGCTTCAGAAGCTGAAAAAGTTGATGACATCGGAGAGGCTCAAGAGGATCCTAACAAACAAACAGAGAGTGAACAAAATACCTCAGAAGTAAAGGAGGAACCGAATGTAGTCTATATTCCTCTGCCAAAGACTACAGATGATCTAGACAATGCCATTTCAAAACTGGGTACCTTCTTTAAGCTCAGATATCAAGGCCAATGGACCTATGATACCGAAGGTCTTGTTGGGGAAGCCGGAGGTGTCTCTGAAGTATCATATTGTTTATTAAATATAGTTCATGGCTGCAGTACATAATATTACGACCACTGAAGGAAGAATGGCCAAGGTTAACTTCGGAATCCAGCTCTTGCAAGGCCAACTTAGAGAAAATGTTGATGGCTATCATGTCTCATTTGAGCTGTCAAATTACACTGTTTCTGAGAAATCTATTACTATTGAGGCGATGAATGCAGAGGTCACCAAAGAGAGAATCCAACTTTTTACTAAATCCGATAATGGGTACTGCACTGCAAACGTGACGTTAGTGTTTACAGGTAAAAAATCTCCAATAGTTCTAACTAAAATTATAGAGAAAGAAGGAAGTATATTTGAAGGTTTGATCTCATTGAAGTCCAAGCACAAAAATTGTGTAGTGGAATCCACATCTTTGGTTTCGAGCCAATTCGAAGAATTAATCAACCAGCAAAGAGGAATGAACTATAATATAATCTTGTTTATGATCCTGTGCTTTTACTGTTATGCGATGATCAAGCAGATCAAGAAAGTTGAAGACAACGAAGGAATTGCTAAGAGGTTCTCTATTATCACTATTGGGTGGAACATCATCTGGAACTTCTGATTTTTTAACATCTATATCACTTACAGCTTTATGATCCCTTTAAACAATCAGCTAATGGCTCCAGCCTTCTTTTATTTCATGATCTGCTTCTTGTTTGAGCTGAAACTCCTCTTACTTTGTTGGAAGGCTGAGAATATGGATGCAATTGAGGAAGGACCAAATGCAGCAAGAAGAGCTTTGATCTTTTTTTACTGTAAATTCTATTGAATATGCCTTGCATTCTTCTTCCTGATTGATAGTATTTTTAGATTCTCCTTTGTGCTGCTGATCGCCAATGGTTTGATTTGGGTTCCTCAGATCTACAAAAACTGTTTGACCAAGGCAAGGAACACTCCTGATGTAAAATTTGTGATATCAATGACTTTAAGCCAATGATTTTTACCGTTGTACTTGAGAGGCTGCCCAAACAATATTTTCTTATCTGAGACCAGTTACATTTGGAGCTTCATCTTTGTATCAGTGGTGGGATTGCAAGTTCTTATACTGTATTTACAGAGAAAACTAGGAGCAAGGTTCTTCTTACCTGATAAGTACAAATACTGGAACGAATACAATTACTATAGAAACCTTGAAGAAAGCGATATGGAAGATGGTGAAACTGAATGCTGTGTGTGTTTAAATAACCTTGCTACTCTTGACTCAGAAAATGGAGAAGGCCAGGATGGATATAGAAGAATCGTATACATGCAAACTCCTTGTGAGCACAAATTCCATACAGATTGTTTAAAACCTTGGATGCAACAAAAGCTCCAATGCCCTAAATGTCGAGCTGATTTACCTGCACTTGACGAAGAAGATTTCTAATTACATTTGCTCAATAATATCGTCACAACTCGGGGTTTTGGGGTTTTGGGGTTTTGGGGTTTTGGGG